CCTCCTGGGGTTTATGACGGGTGGGGCATATGTGTTAAATGGAGGTGTGGCCATATCCTGGGTGTTACTGGACTGGTGTATGTCACATCCTGGGTGTTAGTGAACTGGTGTGTCTCATCATGGGTATTAGTGGACTGGTGTGGATCACATCATGAGTGTTAGTGGACTGGTGTGGGTCACTCCTAAGGGGTTGAGGGGTACTGGTACTGGTGTGGTCACATCCTGTGTAGGGTGTGGGTCATGGTGTTGACTGATGTGGGTCATATCCTGGGTGTTAGTGGACTGGTGTGGGTCGTATCCTGGGTATTAGTGGACTGGTGTGGGTCATATCGTGGGTGTTAGTGGACTGGTGTGGGTCCCATCCTGGGTGTTAGTGGACATGTTTGGGTAGCTTTCTTGGTGTTAGTGAACTGGTGTGGGTGTCATCCTGGGTATTAGTGAACTGGTGTTGTTGGCATCCTGGGTGTTAGTGGACTGGTGTGGGTCACATCCTCCGTGTTAGTGGACTGGTGTGGGTCATATCCTTGGTGTTAGTCGACTGGTGTGAGTCCCATCCTGGGTGTTAGTATACTGATTTTTATCACATCCTGGAGGACTTTTGTGGGTCACATCCTGGTTGTTAGTGGACTGGTGTGGGTCACATCCTGGGTGTTCGTGCACTAGTATGGGTCATATCCTTGGTGTTAGTGGACTTGTGTGAGTCATATTAATCGGTGTCAGTTGACTGGTGTGGGTCCCATCCTGGGTGTTAGTGGACTGATGTGGGTCACATCCTTGTGGACTGGTGTGGGTCACATCCTTGTTGTTAGTGGACTTGTGTTGGTCTCATCCTATGTGTTAAAGGACTGCTGTGGGTCACATCCTGGATGTTACTGGATTGATGTGGGTCACATCCTGAGTGTTAGTGGATGTTGTGGGTCACATCCTGAGTGTTAGTGGATTGGTGTGGGTCACATCCTGAGTGTTAGTGGACTGGTGTGGGTCACATCCTGGGTGTTAGTAGACTGGTGTGGGTCGCATCCTTGGTGTTAGTGGACTGGTGTGGGTCACATCCTGGGTGTTAGTGGACTGGTGTGGGTCATATCCTGGGTGTTAATGGACTGGTGTGGGCCATATCCTGGGTGTTACTGGACTGGTGTATGTCACATCCTGGGTGTTAGTGAACTGGTGTGTCTCTCATCATGGGTATTAGTGGACTGGTGTGGATCACATCATGAGTGTTAGTGGACTGGTGTGGGTCACATCCTAGGTGTTAGACTACTGTGGGTCACATCCTGGGTGTTAGTTGACTGATGTGGGTCATATCCTGGGTGTTAGTGGACTGGTGTGGGTCGCATCCTGGGTGTTAGTGGACTGGTGTGGGTACATCCTGGGTGTTAGTGGACTGGCCGTGGGTCACATCCTGGGTGTTAGTGGACTGGTGTAGGTCACATCCGGTGTAGTGGACTGGTGTGGGTCACATCCTGGGTGTTAGTGGACTTGAGTGTGGTGTAAACATCCTGGGTGTTAGTGGACTGGTGTGGGTCACATCCTGGGTGGGTTAGTGGACTGTGTGTAGGTCACATCCTTGGTGTTAGTGGACTGGTGTAGGTAACATCCTTGGGTTGTTAGTGGACTGGTTGTGGGTCACATCCTGGGTGTTAGTGGACTGGTGTGGGTCACATTCATGGGTGTTAGTGGAACTGGTGTGGGTCATTAATGGGTGTTAGTAGACTGGTGTGGGTCACAATCCTGGGTGTTAGTGGAATGGTGTAGGTCACATCCTGGGTGGTTAAGTGGACTGGTGTGGGTCACATACTGGGTGGTAGTGGACTGGTGTAGGTCACATCTGGTGTTTAGTGGACTGGTGTGGGTCACATCCTGGTGTTAGTGACTGGTGTGGGTCACATCCTGGGTGGTAGTGGACTGGTGTAGGTCACATAATGTGTTAGTGGGGCTGGTTGTGGGTCACATTCACTGGTGTTAGGGGACTGGTGTGGGTCACATCCTGGGTGTTAGTGGACTGGTGTAGGTCACATTCCTGGTGTTAGTAGATGGTTGTGGGTCCATCCTGGAGTTTGTGGGGACTGGTGTAGGTCACATCCTGGTGGTAGTGGACTGGTGTGGGTCACAATCCTGGGTGTTTGTGGGACTGGTGTGGGTCAATCCGGGGGTCTTAGTGGAATGGTGTGGGTAACTCCTGGGTGTTTGTGGACGGTGTAGGTCACATCCTGGTGTTAGTAGACTGGTGTGGGTCACATCTTGCGTGTTAGTGGATGGTGTGGGTCACTCCTGGTGTTAGGGGATGGTGTAGGTCTCATCCCTGGTGTTAGTGGACTGGTGTAGGTCAACATCTGGTGTTAGTGTGGGGACTGGTGGTTGTGGGTCACATCCTGGTTTTGTGGACTGTGTGTGGGTCCCTCCTGGGTGTTTGTAGAATGGGAGGATTTGTGTCACATCCTGGTGTTAGTGGACTGGGGTAGGTCACATCCCTGGGTTGCTAGTGGACTGGTAGTGGGTCACATCATGGGTGGTTAGTGGACTGAGTGTAGGTCACATCTGGTGTTAGATGGGACTGGTTTGTGGGGCACTCCTGGTGTTCCGCGCGCCGATCGGTGTGGGTCACATCCTGGGTGTTAGTGGACTGGTGTAGGTCTCATCTGGTGTTAGTGGACTGGTGTGGTACATCCTGTGTTAGTGGACTGGTGTGGTAAACATCCGGGGTGATAGTGGACTGGTGTAGGTCACATCCTGGTGTTTGTAGATGGTGTGGAGTCACATCCTGGTGGTTAGTGGGGGACTGGTTGTGGTCACATCCTGGTGTTAGTGGACTGGTGTGGGTCACATCTGGGTGTTAGTGGATGGTGTGGGCACATCTGGGTGTAGTGGATGCGTGTGGGTCACATCCTGGGTGTTAGTGGACTGGTGTAGGTCCACCTCCTGGGTTGTAGACTGGTTGTGGGTTCACATCTGGTGTTAGTGGACTGTGTGT